TCTTCATCTCTTTCACATACTGACTTGAGCGTCGGAGTCTCTACGCCGGAAACCCCTCCGGTGTTGGGTTCTTGTAGGTGTTCTCGCGGTTCAGCAACGGTTCGAAGGCGATCAAGGCAAATTTGATCTCGTTCTTATCAGTTCACTTCAGATCTGAGCTTGTTCCCATTAATTCGCTCCAGATCTGAGGAGAGACCCATCACACATGAAGAGCGCTTTCAAATTGGAATGGAGTTCATTTCTACGGATGATGCTTGGGTTAGTTGATTGATAAAATTTAAAATATAAATTAAAATATAATTGCAAGGAAGTAATATAATTGCAATACACTTTTTAAATAAAAAAATATCAATCATTATTTTTTAGGTAATATATATTGAAAATAAGAAACTTGTAAAATTTTGAATAATTAAACTTTTCAAAAAATTAGATTAAAAAACGTAACCAAAAAAAATATTATTTGTAAAGCCTAATATATCATTTAGATAATATATTAAACTTTTTTCAAAAAATATTAATCCATTGCGTTTTTGGGTAATATATTAAACTTTTCAATCAACTGTTTCTAAGTGATTTTACAAATTTGTGACATACACAAATTAGATTAAAAAATCCTCCCTATATATAATTCCCGAATGCGCTGAGTTTACGTGGTTACTTCTGGTGCTTCGGAATCATACTTGGCGAAGAATCATGCCTCGTAATTAGGTTTGGACAAATAATATTGATATATTAATAATTAATAATCTAGGTTCGGACATTCCATAAATATTATTTAGCTAACTTAGGTACTTTAATATCACTTGTATTAATATAACCCTTTAATTCTTTGTATTTCACATGGTGAAACACTAAGTGACTAATATATCCCTGACTTTCGATTTGATTCCTTTAATTAGTTATTGAATTGTAAATGTATTTTAAAAGTTGATAACTTTTGTATTTCTTATCGGTGTTACATATATAATATATTAAATTAAATAACTTTTTGATGATATTCGATTTGACATCCATATTGTATATATTAAATAAATAAATTATATTTATCTTTATAATAATAATAAATAATAATATTTATTCAAATTCAATATAAATATAAAATTATTTCTCAATTGATATATTTATGTTTAATGTAATTATATGTTCTAAGTTAAAAAATTATTATAATATAACACAGGTAAGTCGCACAAATAAAAAAGTGGCATACTAAATATATAATAATATATATATTTTTATAAAAGGTATTTAAATTTTAAACTATTTTTTCTCATTAATTTTACATTTTAAGAAAAATTAGCAAACACCCATGTAATACCCGGGCATTTTAGTAGTATAATATGAAAATGTAAAACTATAATATTATGAGCAATTAAATGTTTAAAAATACAACAATCCCACTTTCATATAAATTCAACAAAAAAAGGCTATTATTTGAGAGTGGGGATAGGTTCACATGAGAATGGTTCTCAATGAAAGAAATGAGAATAAATCGTAGTCATTAGATCGGATGATCTAATGGTTTAAAAAAAGTCAAAATTATATCTTCATTAAAGGTAATGTAGTAATTTTAGCACCACACCAAACAAAGTGGACTCGCTCGAAATTAAATAATCTGGCAAGTGGCAAGTATCAACCACTTTCACATTAACCCATATCTCACACACACCAACACACACCACACACACCAACACGCACACACACAAACTTCACACACACATACACACACACAGAGTCAGCAACCACCGGCGCCGCCGCACCGCCACCATCGCCGCCCACTTTTCCTGCCCGCCAGAATCACCACAGCAACAGAATCCACTCAACTCCTCCAACAATCCGCCGGAGACCTCTTGATGCCGCCACCCCGACGATTCAACCACCAACATCTATGCCTCTTTCCGCGGTCGACTGTCGCATCTGCTCCCCAGGTCAACAGCGGCGTCGTGAATAAGGCGGGTCGACGGCTCTTCAGGCGGCAAGCAGGTCACAGTGGTCGGACGTGATATTCCGTCGGCGAGGTTTCATCATTTCCTGTGTCGGCGAATCGTCTCCGTCGCGCGCTCTCCCATTCTCTTGTCTCGGACGAATAATGGACAAGGAATAGAAATGAGCAGACGAATGTGTATTTCAAGATGTCGGCGAGTTCGTCCGGATCCCGTTGAAATCCGAGCGTGACGGCGGCTGAATGTTCAGGTTGGTTGCTGCCACTGAAATGCTTCGTCGGCGAGCGGAGGGACGTGTTCCACGGAGGACCGAACGACCAAATCGCTGGAGAAACGACTGGAAAGCTTGACCATGGGGCCTGCGTGTTTCTATAATTTTTGAGAATTAGATATTACCCAGGGACTTGATTGCAAATTTATAAATTTTGATTAAATATTGATTTAGTCCCTGGGACAAATCTTCAATTTACAGAACTTTAATTTGAGCTAAAACATAATAGGTCAGGCACAATGTACAAAAAAGACATAATATAGGTCAGGCACAATGTTATGACACAATATACACTCGAATTTGAGATTTAGGGTGACCTTTTGTTTTAAAAAAGGAAAATAGTGTTAGAGGCAATTTTGAATTTTTATAAATTTAAATATTTGTGTAATTAATTCATGAACAAGCATGTAATTTATAGCAATATTCTCATAAATGCATTCTAGTGTTAAATAATGTGTAAAATGTTAAAAATTTTAATAAATAAAAATATTAATATAATAAATATATATTTATAATAATAAGATAATAAATTATTTCAAGTATTTAGGTTAATTTGAGGTAAAATTATATCTACTAAATTTAGTTTTCTAAAAATATCGTATCATATAAAGTATTGCACTTTATATATCAACACACTGATATACTTTTTTCAACTAAAGATAATAAAAATATTGAACAAAGACATTACAATATTAAATATATTTATATAATAAAAATAATAAATTATTTTCATAATAAGTTAAATTAGAGATTTAAGGGTTCATTGACTTTTTTATTTTAAATAGTGCACCTTATATATCAGCACGCCACACTTTATAAAAAACACGTTGCACTTTATCAAACAACACATTTTTTGCACTCTACCACCACATACAACAATTAACGTCAACAACTCTTGCCAAAACACCACACGACATAAAAAACGGATATACATAATAATTTAACATAGACCACACCATTTGTCCACATAAAGCACAAGCATGCTAACGTACAAAAGTTACAGTATTCCACTTTACACATCAACACTTTGCACTTTATAAAACAACGCGTTGCACTTTATAAACTAACACGTTGCACTTTATCAACCAAAAATACTATAAAAATAATAAATAAAATTATTAACATATTAAATATCATTTTAATATAAATAACAAATTATTTCGATTATTTAGGATAATTCAATTAACCGAACGAAATAAACTAATTGTTTATGTATATTTTCAAGTTGACTAAGGACAAAGGTTCGGTCAGTTCAATCTGCACAATACAGACCGACACAGTGCACTTTAGTGTTTGACGAATTGCACATTAATAACAATTAGATTGCACGATATATTTCGTGCACGTAATATATTAATTTTATAATCAAACAATAATATAAAATATATTAAACATGATTTTTTCATTAAATAATATAATTTATTTCTGCACCTTAACCAACAAATTAAGCTTAAATACTTATAATAACATAATATGCCTCAAGAATTAAATTTAAATAAATTAAACTTAAAATAATTGCAATCAAGCTCCTAAAATATGTCAAATTTCCGAAATATAGCCCCCACAATTCCAAACCAAATTTTCAACCAGCCACCTCCTTCACCTCCGACGGAGCTCACTCCCAACTTTCAGTCACCGTGGCTATGCTCACCCTCCGTTGTATTTATCGTCCAACATCCAAGCCGCCACAGCCAGTGGCTCTGCGCTAAAAAAAAAA